TTCCCCGGGGCCCTCCGGGACGGCTGTGTGGTCAACGCGCAAACGACGCCAACGTGGCACCAACCAATCATTTCCTACCCTACAGATACCGCCAGCCGATGAGCAGGCGTTCACCTTTCCACTCATTTTGCCCGAACAGTGCTGTGCACGCGCCACTGACATCTTTGCTCTGGGGTACGTTATTAACGAGCATGGTACACTCTCAAACCTACTCTTTCTGGAATCCTAGTTTAGGCCCCAGAAACTGTTAAAATAATCTAATGTTTTCGCTGTTTTAACGGTAGTCAAAGCTGCGATATCGCCGTCTAACCACGCCTTGTGTGAGCACCCAAGGAAGAACACCACAAGAAGAGGGCAAATGCAGAAGTCTTTGAGCGTAATTGGTATAATATATTTAGGGTAACAAACGCGTGCAAAGCTACGTCCATCGGGCCAATCAGATACTGCTATGGAGCGAGTAGTGACACGATTGGTTTGTGACTCAGTGGCTGGCTTGTCAGATTTTTAGTCTGGCCGCAGCTTTACATTTTAAATTATTGATTCATTGATTGCCAGTTGCGTTCGTCGCGTGTAGGCCGATCGATAGCCTGCAATGAGCACGGCTCATTGCCTTCCTGCTTGCGCGTTGATATCAGCTTTGTTACCAGCTGATCCGATTAGAGTGAGCTCTTACATTCGCGACAAGGTAACGTGCTATAAATAAATACAGAAATTTACTTATATTTATTACTTACTTATAGTTTACTGGGTGGGAAAAATTTGGACATTTTTACTCACTTTTGCTTTATAGGTTATTGAATTTCTTGAAATTCTTGAAAAGAAAATTTGGTAGTTAGGAGGTCCCCTACTTCTAATTATCTGGGGTCTCACTTACCGTGCTGGAGTTAGATTAATAGGGATTGCGGCACGAAGCGCCGCACACACCTTCTAGTTACACGGGCAACCACTTTACATTAATTTATCTTATTTGGTTTACTTAACTTATTTTGAGTTCGATTTTCAGTTTACTTTTCAATTACTCATTATGTTAATTATTTTTATTTTAGTTGAAGATTTTTTTTAAACAAAAGTCAGTCTAGCTTACCTTAGTTTACGTTTTTAGTTAGTTGGTTTAAGTTTTAGTTAGTCATTTTTAAATTTAAATATTTCCCGATATCTGCATGAGTAACGAATGAGAAAATGCAAAATTGCATTCGTACAGAAAGGTCAATTAGGTCATATGGTATAGTCACGAGGGCTAGTCAGCAAAGAAAGCAAGCTAAAACAATGTGGAAAGAAAAGCAGAGGAGAAAAAGGCGTTGCGGTGAGCAGGGAACTGTATAAATCAGGGAACCGGATGATACCAAGGCAAAATTAGGTTAACCACATACTTCAGCTGTTTACATAGGTCAAGTTTTGAACACCGTATATAGGCTGCCCCCAGATAGCGCAAGCTACGCGTTATTCGTGCCCGAAAAAGTACTCGGAAAGGAGTTTTGGGGTCCACAGAATCGCCCGTATCTATTACGCCTTACCATTGCACGCCACTTTCAGTTGTGTTTTACGAATTTAAGTGCACTTGCGGGTGCAAGAACATACGGCGAACGCAACGGCAATTGGCAGCCAGAGTGAGGGAGCACTTGCTTAGTCAGCTATTTATACAGGCAACTAGAAGCCC